GACGTAGCACGAAATGAGATGGAAGATGAACGCCCGCCAGCTGCCCACGACGGGGCCCAGGCGCAGACTAGAGCAGGTACGTTATCTGAGGTGTGAGAGAGGGCTTCGTCGGGCGGAGCCCCCTCACACCTCCTCCGCCCCTTGCAGACATGAAAATGATTGGAGAGTGGCCTCCCAAAGTCCTTGAACGAGGACAATTCACACGCACAGTTCCCCTAGGAATGACGTAGCACGAAATGAGATGGAAGATGAACGAAAGTGAGGGTCCCGCCAGCTGCCCACGACGGGGCCCAGGCGCAGACTAGAGCAGGTACGTTATCTGAGGTGTGAGAGAGGGCTTCGTTGGGCGGAGCCCCCTCACACCTCCTCCGCCCCCCTGCAGACATGAAAATGATTGGAGAGTGACCTCCCAAAGTCCGTGAACGAGGACCGTTCACACACACACACACACACACATGCGCGCGCGCACACACGCCCCCGCTCGCCCGCCGCACGTTGGACGCCTGTCCATGCTCAACGTAAATTCTGAAGCCCTGAAACGCTAGCGAAAACGGGCTCTTGTTGATTAAGGGATTTAACATAAAGTTGGCATAATAGGGACAGAACTGTTGAAGGGGCTAGCACCAGTGCCAGACAGAGCATGGAGTCTCTGAACATGTGGTTCAGGCATTTGGACCGGAGCATGAGCGTTGCGGTTCCAGACTGCACCTTGTTGCTTGATGCCCTGGACACATTGTCCAAGCAGACGCTTGAAAGGAATCCTGCCTGTACGCACCCATGCTCACGCACCCATGAGCAAGCAAGCACGCTTATATGCACGCTCACGCACATGCGCGCACGCACACGCATGCATGGAAGCCCAGGCCTCAAATTTCTTCGCTGTAGGACGTCCGAGGAAGCTCTGATGTTTCCAATGTTACAGACCCAGCTCACCCCAGAGCACCTTTCATAAATACTCTTCGCATTGAGTCTTGCAAACCCCCCATGGTATTACCCATAGGCCCCTAAAGTAGTTCTTTTTTGGGATTACCTTATAGGGTTCTAAAGATAAAGCATAAAAAGGAACTACTTAGGGGCCTATGTGTACACGAGTTTTCCTTCCTTGAGGTTTCTTGCTTGAGGCTTTGTCCTTTCCGGCCTTTGGATTTCATACCCCGGACAGCAAATCCCAAGTATTCGGGCTAAACCCTAAACCCAAAACCCTAAACCAAGTATTCGGGCTAATGCATCACTCGCAACCCATGCTGACATTTGAACCTCCATACTGAACTGCAGCCAAATCTTCGACCAATGGCAGTAGGGTTTAGGGTTTATAGGGGTGTAGGGGTTTAGGGTTTAGGGTTTTTGGGTTTAGGCATTCACACTTCATCCTAAAACTTTACCCCACGCAAATCCAGCCCTGAGCCCTAAACCCCTAAACCCTTAAACCCCCAAAGACCTTAACCCTAATGCCAAGACGGTGGGCCCAAGCTGAATCTGCAGCACCGAACCCTGATCTGAATCAATGCGACCGTTTCGATACATAAAAACCCTAAACCCTACGCCCTAAACTTGTAAACGTGACATGAGTCCGTTTACCTAGCCGTGGAAACTACCGGCCAAAAACGTGTTAACTTTTCTGTGTTTACAGGCCGTATCTAGACCAATAACCCTAAACCTTAAGCCCTTGGAAAACACTACGAAGTTATCACACTGTGCAACTAAACGCCTTGACACAAGTTCTAACGCAAAGTGCTTAACCTCGAACCCAGACAGCCCATGTCCATTGAAGAGGAGTATCACTTGAAAACAAAAACAGCTTCTTAAGAGAATGCTTCATACCGCTTTATGGTCCTTTCGAACATTTAGTGCTTGCATGGTGAGTTTATGGTAGAGAAATAATGTTAAACCGCCGTATATATGTCAGTAATACCGCTTACCTTAAAAACCCTAAGCCCTAAACTTTAGCAGGGATCCCCATATAATGTTGCCACAGTCGCAGTCACTAAGGCTGCAGCTGAGGAGGAGGATGGGGATGAGGGGGCGGAATTCGCTGTTTTGCTGGCAAGGGCGGAGGAGGAGGAAGCAGCAGCTGGTGCTGCTGCTGCTGCTGCTGCTGCTGCTCCTGTTGCTCCTGCTGCTGCTGCTGCTGCTGCTGCGGCTCCTCATCCACCCCTGCCAGCTAATTGGGATGACCTCAACTGTGTGCAGCAAGCAAGAGCTTTGCAAGCCCACGTTGAGGGATTCCCGGCTTTCTGGCCAAGGCAAACTGGCCCTTTCGGGGGCGGGTGCTTTTATTGCCGCGAGAAAGGACACTGGAGCATTCTGTGCTCCAGGGTTTTGTCCATCCCCACTAGAAATTTCTTGTACGAAAGGCGGCAAGACATTTCTAACGCCGGGGAGGCGAACATTGGATCAAGCAAAGGAGCGGGCACGGAAGTCACTCGATCTGACCCAGTCTTACGATCCTCAGATCGGGTTTGGGTCAGGCCCCCGGCTCCAGCAGCATCACTGGGATGTGTTGTACACATTCCATAGGCACCTGCAATCCTGGTTGAGGAGGCCTGACACGGCGAGATTGTGGCCACGAATCTGAACCAAGTCTGTGTGTCATTTCCTACATCAGCATCTCGCATTGATGTTCAACTACGCAACACAGAAAGTAGATGCTAAAAATTCAAGGACTTCAGATTTGCGGCTGCTCATCCAGTCTTGCCTGTCCAGCCAAGATTGCAGGAAAGGTCGGCCCTACTACAACCTTAGAATTGTCGCTATAGTGTGAATACCTACTACAACTTCAGAATTGTCGCTATAGTGTGAATGGCAATGATTTACGTTTAGCGGTAGCAATGAGCCTTAAGTAGTGCTGCTGGAGTTTGATTGCCTTCCCTTCGATGAGAGTTCCTATATTGCTAATGATACTGCCTCTCAAGAGCTACCAAGAGCACGAAATTATCAAATTCCGTACCAATAGTTGCTTTATGCCCAGCTTGAACCTTTGGCTTTCTCGAGCTTGGATCTTTCATGAGTTCTTCCATAAAAAGTGACACGCGGTTTAGGGTTTAGGGTTTAGGAGCTATCCAGCAATCATTGTCACCTGCAACATGAAGGATCCGAGGGCCAGTGCATGTGCTCGCACTCCACCGAAGAGTGGAACAAAAAGGGCAGACGTGCTGCATTACAGGCTAACCTTTCAACTAGATCCTTGAGCATCCAAAGACATCGAGGTTTGGGACGAGTCCAAGTCAGTACGAGAAGAGCACTTCGCTCAAACACTTGGTTGGTGTGGCCAGCTGAGAAGCTAATACCATTCTCTTCGTTCAGATACGTGGCTGATGTGGATAGCTGCAGACTCAGCGGCATGAAACTATTTGGCTCATGTGGCTTGCTGAAAAGCTAAAGCCACGAAGTTATCATCTGCTGCATTCGAAACGAACACCTATCAGTCGGAATCCCTGCTGGCAGGCGAGCAAACAAAGACAAACAAGAAGAAGAAGAAGAAGGAGCAGGAGGAAGGCTTGCATGGAGGCTTTAGGGTTTAAGGGTTTAGGGCCAAGGGTTGTAGGTTGTAAGCATCAGGGTTGATCAGTAACTAATCGAAGTCAGTACGAGAAGAACAATTCGTTCAGACATTTGGTTGATGTGTTTGGTCGAAAAGCTAATACCACGAGGCCACTGGGTTCATGTCGCTAGCTGAAAAGCAACAACCGCGAAGGAATGATTTTGTTCGGATTGCTTGAGGGGCTTCGGGCTGAAAGTTTTAAGTTTTAGGCATTGCTACGAAATGAGCACTTTGTTCAGATACTTGGTTAATGTGGCAGCTGAAAAGCTAAATGACGAAGCTATCATTTGTTGGTTCACGACGGAATGCTGGCTTCCGAGTGAGCACCTTTCAGTCGGAATCCCCGCTGGCAGGCGAACAAGAGAAGAAGAAGAAGCAGGAGAAGACCACCAGACGTCGAGTGCTTGGGAGGAGGGGTTTAAGGCTTTCGAGTTTCAGTTTAAGGCATGAGGTCTTAGCAGTATAGTTAAACACCAATCGAAGTCACGAGAGGAACACTTCGTGCAGATATTTGGTTCATCTGCCGCGCTGCAAAGCAAACACCAGGAAGCTATAATTTGCGGTGCTTAGGGCTAAGGTTCTTAAATTTTTGGCATTACAACAAAATGGACACTGACTTGGCTCATGTGGTGCGTTGAAAAGTTAAAGCCGCGAAATTATCGCCTCATAGACCGGGAATGAACACCTCTAAGTCGGAATCCTTGCTCGCAGGCGAAAGAAAGACAAAAAAACAGCGGACGAAGAACAGGCTTCGAGAATTTGGGGTGGAGGGTCTAGGGCTTCAGCTTTTTCAAACATGAGCGCTTTGCAATATAGGACTCATCGAAGCCAATACCAGAGAAAGACTTATGCCGATGACTTGCTGAAAAGCGTAATACCAGCAATACAGGCTCGAGGCCGACAGCAAACAACTAAAAAGAACTTTGAAAAGCAGAGAGCTAAAGGGCCAGAAATCGCTGAGTTGGAAGCGACGGTTTCCTCGGAGCAAAGTGATGTCCAAGTGACTTCGTCAGAGCTCGGGACAACGGTATTGTCATCATCAACATAACTGGCCATTTGGGTCGAGTTCTGTTAACTAGTAACTAGTATAGCGATAAATACAACTACAGCAAATAATATACATATATGTACATTATGATACATACAGGACGGGCCATAGTCCATAAGTTGAACCATGTTGAACCCATAAACTGCGAGCTCGATTGGTTTAGGCGTGTACAGACTATCCGAAGTACGAACCCCAAGTGGCAATGATTACGCAACAATAAAGTTGTTGTAACAACAAGACGAGAGCACGCAATGAAGGCATCGTGCATCACAACAATAGAGCGAGAAAATAAAAACCTTAGAAGTAGCCCTGGCAAAATCTCCGCAACATTATCACAAGCGATCGACCATCCAACACGCCCACAACACAACTCGAAATGACTAAAGACCCACAGAATCGAACAAACGTTCCCACACACAAGTGTTACCATCCGGGGGGCTTCAGAAATAGTGTTGAAGCTTCTGAGTAAAACCCGTACCCAAATCTCTGCAAAAATTTAGCCTGCAGGCTTCTAAACCATCTCTCCGAACAAAAACTGGGTCCTGATACACGCCACTGTCCGACCTCGCTTTTTACCAGCAAAGTCGAGTTTTGAGACTGGAGGCTTGGTCACACACTAGTCGTCTTAAAGTCTTAGCATCTTATAAAGTATACGATCGTATCTCTTTTTCCGGAGTGCATACGATGGTATATCTTTCTGTTCTCTGTGTAAAAGTCTCTTATGTGATGTTTGGCCAAGTACAAATATTATATATATATATCTGTATCCACACACATATATACATATACATATATATATATACACACACACACTGGCACTGGCGCTGACTCTGAAGGAATTTCTTGCCCCCCACTCCTACTCCTACTCCTACTCCTGAACCTACTCCTACCCCTCCTCCTTCTCCTCCTTCTCCTCCTTCTACTACTACCTCCTACTTCCATCTCGCGCTGCTGCTGCTGTTGCTGATACTACTAGTACTACTACTCCTCCTCCTCCTCCTCCTCCTCCTGCTACTTCTACTTCTACTTCTACTTCTACTTCTACTTCTACTTCTACTTCTACTTCTACTTCTACTTCTACTTCTACTTCTACTACTACTACTACTACTACTACTACCACCACTATTGCGTACTACTGCTACTACGACTACTACCAACAAGACTAGGACTGCGCAAGACTACTGCTAACACTACCACTACTAGTCACTACCACTACCGCTACCACCACCACTACGATGACGACTACTACTTCTACTTCTACCTCATCTTCTACTTCTGCCTCTACGTCTAGGCCTATTCCCACTCCTACTCCTACGCCTCCTACTACTACTACTACTACCACCACTACTACCTCCTACTACTACTACCACTACTACTACTACTACTACTACTACTACCACCTACTACTACTACTACTACTACTACTACTGCTACTTCTACTGCTACCACACCCTAAGCCAACATCGTGTCGTTCCCAAGCCGTCTCTTTACAGGAGAAGCACACCGCGGAACACTCCAACATCTGATGGAGCCGAGGAGGTTTGGGCTCCGGCCTTTAGCGCTCAGTGGCAGGTTTAGGGGTTTAGGGTCTAGGGTTTAGGGGCTTAGGGTATAGGGTTTAGGGTTTGAGGCTTTAGACTTTAGGGTTTAGAGGTCTGGGGCTTCGGGCTTGGGGTTTGGAGATTCAGGGGGAGTTGAGGGTTCAAGGTGGAGGGTGTGAGGAAGTCATACCACTCTTCTGGCACGCAGCTGATCGAAAAGCCGTAAGATAGGGGCATATCATAGCATAAATCCTAAGTAAGAAAGTCAAAGGACTAGCAGTACGAAAGCACCGTCACCATAAGGACTATCAGTGGTGTCGCCGCTGCTGATACCACTAGTCTACGAAGACTTTAAGATCTCATCTGCAGCGTAAACCCCTGAACTCTGAAGCCCCTTAACTTCCCTATAAACCCACAAACCCTACAAACTCTAAACCCTGAAGACCCTTAACCTTGAACCCTAAACCCTAAAGATCCTAAACCCTAAACCATAAAATAAAGACCCTAAACCCTAAACCCTAAAGACCCTAAACCATTAAGACCCTAAGCCCTACAGACCCTAAAGCCCCTAAACCCTAAACCCCAACGCCAAAAAAAAAAAAAAAACAGTGGTCTAGGCATCTGCGCTCTGAACTGCTTGGCTTTAGGCTTTGGGGCTTCAGGCTTTAGGGTTTAGGCTTTAAGGCTTTCCGGCTTTAGGGTTTGGGGTTTAGGGTTTAGGCTTTAGGGTTAAGGCTTTAGGGTTGAAGGCTTTAGGCTTTAGGGTTTAGACGTTAGGGTTTAAGGTTTAGGTTTTAGGGTTTAGACTTTAGGGTTTAGGGTGCTAGCTTGGGTTCAGAAGTTCACTAGGGCTGGAGAGAATCTTTTTTGCATAGTTTGTTGAAGTACGGCTTTAGTGGGGCAGGCATACCATCAAGGAGCGGAATTTTAGAACCTAGCCTAACCTCAAAGCTAGATCGCGAAGCCTACAAGAGAACTTCGTCAAAGTCTGGAGTTTGGGGGTTTGGGCCTGGGAATTTAGGAGTTTAGGAGTTTCGGGGTTTAGGGTTGAGGGGTCTAGGGATTACGAGGAGTGGGTTGGGCCAGTTGCTGGCAGCATGCTACCCTGGCTCTTGCATAGCAGCTGAGGCCCCTTTGACTCGCGACTCGCTTCGCATTTGGCCGGTTGAACCTACCCGAATGAAGGGTCCAAAGGACCCAATAATTAGGTACTTGGGTTTCGGATAGCGGTTATGTGCGCCACAGTATTTGGGAGCGTGTCTGATTATTCCCCTTACGGATACACCACGACATAAGACCTGTGACAACATGCACGATGAGCTTAAAGTGGCACTGCGGCTGGCAAAGCAGGGTCTCGACCGCGCAAAATGAGATTTTTCATTCCTGTACCCAGAGACACAAGGCTTAGAGATTGGCAATATATCGTCCTAGAATGTCATATCGTAATATGAGGCATGATTTTGTGCTAGGCTTTTGGTACGGTGCTGATAGGTTCCGTGATGCTTTATGTAGTACGGTTTACGGTCTAGGGTTTAGAGCTCCCAGCTGAAACGTACAGCTGAGGGTTCGAGCTAGGAGCATAGGTATGGATTATGCGGTCTAAAAGCCCTAAACCCCTCGAACCCCAAAAACCCTAAAGTGCTTGTGCCCCCCAAAACCAAAAGATCAAACATGCTCTCACCCGTAGCCCACAGGAGTTCCTCAAAACATCAACATCCAAGCATAAAATGCAACCGTTATATCGTTTCGGATCTTAGAAACACCATCATTCCTTCAGTGAAGCAGCATCCTCACATCTGGTTAGGGTTCCCTACCCATAGGCCCCTAAGTAGTTCCTTTTTTGGATTACCTTGCAGGATTCGAAGTATAAACCATAACAAGGAACTCCTTAGGGGCCTATGGGTAAACCCTCATCTGCCTGATGGGGGGGTGGGGATCCAAGGCGCATGGGTTGAGCGCTTTCCCTAAACCTAAAACCAAAAACCGTGGATCCGGCACGGGAGGGCTGTCGCTTGCAGTGTCTACGAAGGTTTGGGGCTTGTACGAGTTTAGGGTGAAGGGTTAGGGCTTATAGGGTTTAGGGTTTAGGGCTTAAGGTTAAGGGTTTTAGGGTCTCGCAAACCTTGACCCTGAACCCCGATCCAGTTCTAACAGAGCTGTTGGCTGAGATTCACCTAAGCATTATACCGGCATGAATCGGCATCCATCGATGTCTTCTTGGAGCCTTCCATGGACCCTACTTAGGTCGTGGAATCCTTGTTTCAGTGGTTTAGGGCTTGTAGGGTTTAGGGTTTGGTTCAGAGCCGATGAGGTTTGGGGTTGCAGGGTTTGAGGTTTAGGATTTACCTATAGTCTCCATTGTACTTCCTTCTTGGGGTTACCGTTTAGGATCCTTAGTATAGATTTGGTTAAACCAAAAAAAAAGGAACTACAATGGAGACTATAGGTAGGGCTCGAGAATTTGAGTGTCTCTGGGGCCCTTCAGTGCACGAAGCGGCTCTTCCGCCAAAGGATGAAGACCCCGAGCAACCGGAAAGCGAAGAAGAAGATGATGCACATGGAGAAAGCCTGCTTGGGTTTAGGGTTTAGGGTTTAGGGTTTAGGGTTTAGGGGTTTAGGGATGATGCACATGGAGAAAGCCTGCTTGGGCGTTTCGGGTTGAGGGTTACGGGATGTCGAAGGCTTTGGGTTTTCGTGGTTCTTGGCTTAAGGGCTTGGATTGTAGTAGAAGCCGTGAAGAATGGCACCTTGTGCACGCGACATCGACGTGGTCATTTAGACTTCCCCTGTGCTTTGGGTTCTTCGGGTTCTGGCTTTAGTAAAGTCTGGCTTGGTTTCGTCGAAGCCACGCTTCCATGTTGTATATGCAAGGCTAAAAAAGTGCACTGCAGTCTTCCGCGGGTGCTGATGGTTCCTTCTACCCTGGATGTTTCTGGAAAGCTCTGACCCTAAACCCTAAACTGAGCTCCTTAACAACAACACAGAAGGAAACGAGGCCGGGCTATCGGAGCACTTCAGGGTTCAGTTTAAGTGGGCTTAGGGTTTATGGTTTTGGGTGTATACCTGGACCCCAAAGAACCTACCTTTTTGGAGGACCTAAAAAAGTAGGTTCTTGGGGGTCCAGGTAGGATTCAAATTCTAAGACTCAGAAACTGGGCGCCGGGTTCAGGATGCAGGAAACTGCTCATCAGGTCCGATTATACGTAACGGAAATTACGAGTTCTACTCCTTCGTAAGCATAGTACTATGCTGAAGTCTCATTCTTTGCCAATGTTGAAGAATTAACAAATACGATTCGGCAACGGCCTGAACTTGCCCTGAACCCTAAACCCTAAACCCGAAACCGTGGGAGCTTACCATGAACCCTAAAGTGGGGTTTAGGGTTTAGGGTGCCCTAAAGCTCTAACCGCAAAGCCCACCGCCGCTGCGCTTTGCTGCGCTCTGCGGAACTTCTCTGGG